CTTTTTGGATTGTCCCATCCCCCCCCCCCCCCCCCCCAAACCTTAATGGGTTCTTGTCTGCTGCCTTCCTCTTGTCCCCTTGTCAGCTTGTGTCAGTGTCCTTGCTTTCCCCAGCAGTGCATGTCCAGAAAGAGCCTGCACTCCACTGTTTGGTCATATTTCCTGATCTGCTGTCACTTTCCCCTCTTCTCTTGCAGTTCCTCCTTCTGCCCCGCTTTGCAGAATCCAGGGGTCCCTGGACGTGGGCAGCGATATCACACTGACCTGCAGCTCGGAAGAAGGCATCCCCCGGCCAACATACCTCTGGGAGAAACTGGACAATGTTCCCAAGTTGCCCCCAACTGCCACCCAAGGTGCTCGTTCTGTTGATTATCCTTTTATTTCCCAGGTGACAGCCTGGGCTTTCCTTTGAGCCTCCAGAGGTGACATGGCTCAATGAGTGTCTGCCATCACTTGCATGATCACTTTATTGGAACAAAGATACCTAGAGCCCATGGTGGACTAGGTACCCTCCAGCGGCCATGTAACTTTTCATGGTTTTTTGGTACAGAAACATGTTCCCCACTTAGGAACAAGGGTCTGGTCAAATGGGAGAGAGAGGACATGGTTGCCAGATGTTGGCATGTGGCTGGAGATTTCAGCTGCCAACTCCTCTGCATTTTAAACCAAATGAAAGGCTCATAGATTGGAAACTGGGAGAAGGGAGACAGAATTATCTTGGGAAAATACTGCCAGCTTCTCACACTGAGGTCACTGTTCTCCAATAAGTAACTGCCAGAGCTGCCTTTCAGATGTGTGTAAAAGCAAGGCTCTGATCAGACTGGATATTGCCCAGTTCCAGGTCCCATCCATAAGATTTCTTAGCCTAAGTGTCCTGACCAAGTTGTAATAGCTGTACTTTTGCCCTTTATCTTGCTGTATTTTAAAAATATACAAGCATTTTAGTTTTATATAATTAAGGAATGAGGAAAATTGGCAGAGCAGGCAGTGGGGAGCCCAGGGATGGGAGAGCAGGGGTTCTGCAGGGCAGGACTGAATTTAGCAGGTAGATCTGGGTATACATAATTGCACATCTCTTCTTTCCTCCCTTTTCTCACACAATACTGAGAGTCCCAAGCTTTCATTTACAGAAATTAATCTATAAGAAGAATAGCTTATATCTAGTGTAAGCTCCTTAAGACCTAATCTTGTGTGTGAGTGCGTGTGCACACAATGCTTCCATCTCAAGGTTATTTCCTAATTTATTTCTCTCTTAAGAGTCTCACACCAAAATTCTCTATTTGCTGGCTTTGCCTTTTCACGGTTTTCCTCAAGGGGGGAGGGATTTAAATCCTTCTTTTCTCTCTGACTAGACCAAGTCCAGGGCACTGTCACTCTCCGAAATATCAGCACTGTGTCCTCAGGTCTTTACCAATGTGTGGCTTCAAATGCCATTGGAACCAGCACTTGCCTTCTGGACCTGCAAGTCATTGCACGTAAGTATTTGCTGAGGGAGGCTTGGTCACCTGCTTCTGTCTTGTGACAGTACAGTGTGTAACCATGTTTGCTGTGAGCCACCATGTGCCTCTCTATCAGAAGACCTTTGTGCCCTGGAATGGGGATGTGTCCCTTCCCCCCTCCCAAGCCAGGGTAGCTTCAAATGCTCATGGACGGCCACAGCCCAGCCCTGATTTCTTCTCCTTTCTCTGTTCAATTGTCCCCACAGCCCACCCCCGGAGCATCGGCCTGATTGCAGGAGCGGTGGCCACAGGCGCCGTCGTGCTGGTTGTTTGCATTGTGTTGGTGGCCGTGGCGCTGTTTTACTGGAAAAATAAACACAAAGAAGAAGAAGAGGAGGAGATTCCCAATGAGATAAGGTAAGGACCAGAGAAAGCTGGTGGCAGGGGACCTCTGATCACTGAGCAAAAGCAGTGGCTGGCAGGAAGGCAGTCAGAAGTCTCACTATTGCTAATCCTCAGTGTGTTCCCCTGGGCCAGGGGAAGATGTCAATATCTGTCCTGAAAAAGGAGGGAGCAAATGAAGAATGGTTACGACAGATTTTGTTTTCAGTATTGCCTTTGAGAGGCATTGAGTATTGAGAGCTTTGGCTTGACTTTATTAGCTCTGTAGAAGAGTGACTTGTACAGTCATGCTGCCCGCATGGTACCAGGGGCTGTGACAACCACTGGTTTTGCCCCCCTAGACACGAGCGTGGGTCATTTGCCTCAGTGGTAGAAGGAGGCCAAGGAGCAATGCTGGTTCATGTTGGTGCTGTCCTTCACTTTGAATTGATGGTGGTGACTCCAGCAGGGTATGGTGGGGGTGGGTGTTGGGCAAGCAGGGCAGCATTCTTTTGTGTGCCCTCACACCCTCTCCTTCCCAGGGAGGACGACCTGCCGCCCAAATGCTCCTCTGCCGCTAAGACATTCCACGCTGATGCATCCTCGTCGGAGAATGACACCCTCAC